CCGCTCGTCGGTCGCCGGGCAGCGACGATCGCAAGCAGGCCACAGTGAGCAGTGTCACGGCGTGCATTCAACACACGGCGGTGACGAGGCCACACTCACGCACACTGGCGTCTCTGGAGCGAGACCGTCACGCCGACGGCGCTGACCGCAGCTCCTCTGAAGCCGCTCGTCGGTCGCCTGGCAGCGACGCTCGCCGCTCGGCGCCTGTTGTTGCCTCGGCGTCACCACAAACTCGGCACCCGACAACCGCACGCGACGGAACGGCCACACGCACGCCGAACCGGAGCCGTTCGTGCCCAGCAGCGGAGGCGAGGAGCACAATGGCAACCCACCCGTCCCAACGGATCCGCTGGATCGGGCGGCAAACTCAGAATCGCCGATAGTATGTGTTCACGGCGAAACGCTGTGAATACATAAATAGAGGTGCTCATAACTAGTGACCATGACCTCCCCAGCCCTCAAAAACTGCGTTTTTCGACCCCGCCCCTATAGGGGCGATTTTGGCTCGCCTCATGCCACAACCCTACGAAGTCCGGAAAAGGGATTAAGTAAAAGGGACCAAGGAAAAGGGATTGAAAAAAGGGATTAAAAAAGGAGAAAAAAAGGGACAGCAAGCAAAAGGGACCAAGGAAAAGGGACCAAGGAAAAGGGACCGGGAAAAGGGATTAAAAAAGGAGAAAAAAAAGGACAGCAAGTAAAAGGGACCAAGGAAAAGGGACCAAGGAAAAGGGACCGGGAAAAGGGATTAAAAAAGGAGAAAAAAAAGGACAATTAAAAAAGGAGAAAAAAAAGGACAGCAAGTAAAAAGGGACCAAGGAAAAGGGAGAAAAAAAAGGACAGCAAGTGAAAAGGGATTGCAAAAGGGGAGAAAAAAGGACAGCAAAAGGGGATTAAAAAAGGTGAAAAAAAGGACAGCAAGTAAAACGGCTAAGTCCAAGCTCTAAGGCAGGACCTAGGCCGAGTTCGCTTCCGGGGCACCCACATTTGGACCCACCCTGCGCTTGCGGAGTACAAGTACATGCTGTGGCTCAACGCGGACGCCTTCTGCACGGAGCCGTGGCGGCAGGATCCCATTGATTTCATGGTGCGCAACGACCTCGTCCTGCTCTTTGACAACCTTAACGGCGCAGCACGGGCTCCGCCAACGCTTATGCGCTTGATCCGAGACATATTCCAAACGCCGTTTTGCGGTGTGAGCATACGGAACGGCAGCCTGGCTCCATATCGCAAGGTTCGTGCAGCCGGTGCATGCACCGCCCCTGAGTTCGGAGTGTGAGCCACGCGTCTTTTGTGTTTATTCCCCCGGCGCCCGCGACGCGGCTCCCGAGTTCACATGACGAGACATGTCATTGTATTATTCTGCAATTCGCAATCTCACTGCAATTCATAAAAATTGACACTCAAATTGCACCAGCAAACATTCTTTTTTCATCACCGACCCCCAACGTGGCCGGGTGCAATCGGTCTGCAATCACCGTCACGCACCACCCGTAAGTTCGTATACGTACGTGCCCGCTTCCTTCTCTCTCCTTCTTATGTGCGTGTGCCATGTAGCAGGCTAGGTTAGGTATGAAGGTGAAGAGTGAGTGAGTGAGTATTCTTGATACGAAACCACGACGACACACACCAGTCGACTCGCATCGGTTGCCTCCATGAACGGCGGAGCTATTCTCGCGCCCACACCACACACACACACACACGGTGAAGATTGGGAAAGCTCCCTACCGGCTATACGAGCCCGAACCCGGCTGTGTGTGGTGGTGGCGCGCAAGTGCGGCCCGAACCCGGTGTTCCGACAATGGCCGTCGCACTGCTCGCGGCTTCGCTCGCCTTCACCCTCCCCCGGCCGCCGCCGCTGGGTGCTCGGCCGCCGTCTCGGCTGTGCCTTTCTGCCACCGACGTCGCCTCGGCCTCTGCCCTTCTGGCCGCATACGACGAGGGCCACAGGGCCACGGCGGCGCAGCCCGGCAGCGAGGGCCTCGGCGGCGCCATCAGTGCCAATGCGTGGGCGGCCGAGCAGCCGCCAGCTCCGCTGGGCGAGGCCGTGCGCGCGCTGCTGGCCGCCGCCAAGCCCGGGGATGGCAGGATCATGCTCGGCTTCTGTGCTGACGACGCTGCGAGCGGCGTTGCGGCGCTCAAGGCGTGGGTGACTTCGCTCGGGCTCCCAAAGGGCACGCTGCACGGGATGGACCGCGACGGCGTGCCGCTGGACATGTCAACCTTTGGCTCCGTCTACATCAAGTGGACTCGAACAAGCAATCAACCGCTCCATGCCGCCTCCGTCGACCCTCACCCGCCGGTGCCACCTCTCTAGGTACTCGTCCCACTCGCTGAGCGCCGGCGACCCGCCCGGCACCGCGATCCTCTCCGGCTACGGGGGCGACTTCAGAGGTGTCTGCTTCTACCCTCCGCCCTGCCCGCTAGGAACCTTCTCGGACCCTTCCCGGACCCTTCCCGCAGGAGTCTACTTCAACCCGCAGCTGCCCGACGGACTCTTCCGCCAGTACGCGGTGCTGCCCCTCTTCTAGAACCTCCTGGAACCTTCTATGGACCTTCTAGGACTCTTCCGCCAGTACGCGGTGCTGCCCCTCTCACTCTTCGCCCTCGCGCCAGCGCCAGCGCCAGAGGCGGCGGAGGGGGCGGCGGCGGCGGAGGCGGCGGCGGCGGCGGAGGCGGCGGCGGAGGCGGCGGCGGAGGCGGAGACGCCAGCGGCGGAGGGAGGGGCGTCGGAGGGAGGCGGCCTCAGCACCGCCGCAGTCGAGGCGTCGCTCGCGTCGCTGCTGCCCGCGATCGGCGAGCTCGGCGGCTGGCTTCGGATCGAGGCCCGGCCCCGTTAATCAACAGCTAATTAACTGCGAATTAACTGTGGATTAACAGGCGGCTGGCTCCGGATCGAGGCCCGGCCCTTCCCGAGCCGAGGAGGGCCTCGAGATGGGGCGAGATGAGCCGAGATATGGCGAGGTTAGGCGGTCGTCCACGCGGAGGGCCTCGTGAGGCTCGCCTACAGCGGCCCGCCGAAGCTGCGCCGCTCGATCGAGTTTGCGCTGCGATCCGACGTCGACGGCGTGCGCACCGTCGAGATTCGAGACGCGGCGACCGACGCGGCGGCGGGCGCGGCGGCGGGCGCATCGGCGGGCGCGGCGGCGGGCGCTGGGGAGAGCACGCCCACGGTGCCCGCCGTGCCGCGCCGCTTCTCTGGGGCGCACCGCTTCGTCTCGCGAGTCGGGGGCGAGGCGGGCGGGGGCGGGGGCGGGGCGGGCGGCAAGAGCGCCGCCGAGGTGCTCCACTCGGTCGGGTGGGTCAAGCTCGCGCGAGATCCACTGCTCGTCGACGGCAGCACGCTCGCCGAGCTCCGCGCCGCGCCGTACGCGCCAATCTTCAACGGGCAAAGCCCGGGCGAGGCACACTCGCACACATCACATGCACACACACACATACACACATGCACACGTACACATGCACACGTACACACGCACACACACGCACACACACACACGCACACACACACACACACACACACACACAGTCATACACACGGAACGGTGGGTAGAGGGGTGGACCAATGAATGCATCAATCAGGCGCCGCTGCGGCACATGGGACGCCATCCCGCATGGGCGGCTCGCTTCGAGGCGCACTTTGCCTCCGCTCTGAGGGAGGAGGGGCTGCTCGCTTGCTCCGACGGGAGCGAGAAGAGCGTGTGCGACTGCTACGCGCTGCGCTCGCTCGGGCTGGGGGCGGACGCGGCCGGCGGCGACCCGGCGCTGGCTGGGCGGCAGCCGCCGCACTCGGACGCCCCGGCGCCGCCGGGAGGGGGTGCTGCCCCTCTTCCAGAACCTTCTAGAGGACCCTTCTGGACCCTTCTAGGAGCCGCCGGGCGAGGGGGCGACGTGGCCGCTCGCCGACGCGGACATGCCTCTCTCGGTGATGCTCGGTGTGATGCCCAACACGGGGCTCTGGATCTTCCCGGCCGGCTGCTGCGGCGCCGAGTGCGGCGGCGATGCGGCGGGCGGCGATGCGGCGGGCGGCGATGCGGCGGGCGGCGATGCGGTTGGCGGCGATGCGGTTGGCGGCGATGCGGTTGGCGGCGAGGACGGCTGCGGCGAGGAGGGCGCCTTCCTGCTGCCGATCGGTGTCGGGGAGATGGTCGTGTGGCGCGGCGACTTGGTGCACGCCGGCGCGGGCTACGCGGAGCCAGAGCACTTCCGCGTCCATGCATACGTCGACCCGCCCGCGCGGATCTACCAGCGGCCAAAGGGCAAGACGAACCGGTGTCCGGGCGTCTGAGCGACCGCGGGCGCATACGTCTGCCACAGACGTTCCGCGCGTCCGCGCGCGCGCGCGCGTGCGCGCGTCTACCCCTTTTCGGCTGCGCGTATACCGTGAGTCCGCCGCACGAGCGAGGCCGCTCTGTCTCGCGCCAGCGCAGGTTCATAATTAGCTGAGAGAGAAATACAAAAGCAGATCTCAAGAGATTTTAGTTTATATTACTAATCACAAAAACATAATCTTTGCCCTCTCATAGTGCCATTTCACTCTGGCACGCTACGTGTAATCTTGAAAACGCGAAGTCTCCAACGGAGCTCCGTGTTGCTCCCAGCGCCCTCCCCCGCGCTCCCTGCGGCCATGGCCGATACTACTAGTATGAGAGGCCATCTGGCTACCGCGAGAGCGACCCAACTCGTCGACATATAGTCCGATGATGGTGCCGCAAAGTCAGCCTTCGGAGGCTATCGTGGGGTCGAGCCGGCAGTACAAGCCGTGACATGTGGTTCCACCACCCCTCGTAGGCTTTGCCTCTGACCGCCACCGTTCCCAGGCTACCTTATGGGATGGAAAGGAAGGCTGGGCGAGCGTATAGAAGCGTGCTCGACCTCGTCGTGGCAACCTGCAAGGCAGCGCTGGCAGGCGCGATGAGCGTCGTGCCACCTGACCCGAGACGGGTCGCAGGCGTCGTACCGAGCGCGTCGAGACCGTGTCCTGATGCGCTCTGCACGGGTGAGTCACGTCGGCGTCAAAGGAGCGACGTGTGACCTGTCAGAGCTTGATCTCCGATCTCAGCGGCGTCGAGTCGTCTCCGGCGCGGGCGACAAAGGTACATACCCAGGACGCGCAGAGGCAGCTGCGACCCAGCCGAGTGGACGGTTGCACACCGCGCCACCTGCCGATAGAGGCGGGTGCAGTCGACCAAGGGACATGATCTATCGACTCACAGCACAAATTTGTGGTGGGACACCATTGGGACCCAATAGCGCGATCGCCGATCGATACATGGCTATCGGCTATCGCACTGTTGACGTACGGCTTCGTTAGCTCAAGCTACCGGCGGCTAAGTAAGGTAAGGTAAGGTAAGGTAAGGTAAAAACTTCTCCACACACACGAGGTGGTGGGGCAAGGGGGGGCAACCCTCGCGTCTCCACGTCTAACGACAGGAGCCCCACGGCATTTAAAGTGCAAGGCCCGGTGCGCGTGGGTGAGCGGTGTGTGTGTGTGTGTGTGTGTGTGTGTGTGTGTGTGTGTGTGTGTGTGTGTGTGTGTGTGTGTGTGTGTGTGTGTGTGTGTGTGTGTGTGTGTGTGTGTGTGTCACGTCACTGCATCCTCTGCCGGTTCCTCCCGTCGCCTCTTCTTTGTTCGAATGTTTTTCAATCCATCCTTCACGAAGCCCTCCCATGTAGCTACGGCTCTAGCGTTCTTTGCGAATGTCTCGAGATGGCCAAGTAAGAGGCCGAGTAAAGCCGTAGCCTGTGTGTTCACAGAGCTCTCTGTGAACACCCCTCAATCAAGCCCCCATCAACCGCGCTCGCAGAATCTATCTTGTAGCACATCGGGCCAGTAGAACAGAAGCTGAGCAAAAATACCCCCCCCTGTTCAGGAATTCATGCCAATCAATCGAATTTTCGGGTAAACGGCACGTGCACGTCGCCGAAGCTATCCGGCGCTCCTTCCGCCCTCCCCCCGCGCCTCGATGGCTCGCCACGCCTCCTCGACGAGCGCGAAGCACTCTCCGGCGCGCGGGTGGCCGCACCGATCTGGGTGGAGCCGCCGCACCAGCTGCAGGTACCGCTTCCGGCTCGCCTCGCGGCCCGTCAACCGCTGCAGCCCAAGGCAGCCCCAGGGGTCCTGCACAGCGCGGGGGGCTCCAGCGAGCACCGCCGCCACGAGAGCGTCCACCGCGCAATCGACGTCGACGATGCCGCCGCTCGACCCTGCGTCGCCGCTGCTGGACCCACCGCAGCCGCCGCCGCCGCCGCAACCGCTCCCGCCGCCGCTACCGTCGCCGCTCCCTCCCCCTCCGCCGCTCCCACCGCCCCCGCCCGCCTGGCGTTGGCGCTGGCGGCTGGCCGCCTAGGTAAGGTGAGGTAAGGTAAACTTCTCGACACACAAGGGTGGTGGGGCAAGGGGGGGCGGCCCTCGCGACTCCACGTCTAGAAGACGGGAGCCTCGTGGCATGCCCAGTGCGCGTGGGTGAGCGATGCGTGTGTGTGCGTGTGCGTGTGCGTGTGCGTGCGCGTGCGCGTGCGCGTGCGCGTGCGCGTGCGCGTGCGTGTGTGTGTGTGTGTGCGTGTGCGTGTGTCTCCACCTCCTCGAAGAGTCGCCTCTGGTCCTACGTGGCGAACACGCAGCCTCGAGGCGGGAGTACGGTCTCGTGCAGTGCATTCGTAGCACCGCGTGAATACGAGGGGCTACGAGCACAGCGAAAGCAGCGGAAGACGGCCGAATACGGCTGAGTACGTGTCCTCTCGAGCGCTGGTTGGGATACGAGAAGATGTATTCCGCTTCTGGGCCTCCTTTCCTCGATTGCGGCCCGCCTCCGCTGCTCCTCCAGCAGCGGCTTCTGCTCCTGCAGCCGTCGCTTTTGCTCCCGCAGCTGCTGCAGCTGCCGCAGCTGCTCGGCCTTGGCGACGCGCACCGCCTTGGCTGCCTACGGGGCATGGCCAGGACGTGTTGTGGACGTGCCCTGGACAGGGCACCCGGCTCGCGCTGCGCCGCAAGCCGCCTCCACAGCCTGCGCCTCCGCTGCCCTCGCCGCCGCTGCTGCCGCCACCTCGGCCTGGCCCGGCGCCTCGCCGACCGCCCGCGCATACGCCACCGCCGCCTCCACCGCCGTGCCGAAGTAGCCGTAGCAGACAGTCTCCCTTCCCACCGTGTGCTGCGCCCGGAAGCGCGAGCCATACACACCGCGCCAAATGGATACGGCCTTGTACCCGGTGGCACTGCTGCTGGAGAGGTGCAATCTCAGGCCCTCCGCCTCTGCAGCCACCGCCGGAGGAGGCTGGTATTCCCCGACCGCCCGCGCATACGCCACCGCCGCCTCCACCGCCGTGCCGAAGAAGCCGTAGCAGACAGTCTCCCTTCCCACCGTGTGCTGCGCCCGGAAGCGGCCGGAGGGGCGCTGCTGCACGCCCTTGTACCCGGTGGCACTGTTGCTGGAGAGGTGCAATCTCAAGCCCTCCGCCTCTGCAACCACCTCCCCTTCTGCAGCCACAATCGGAGGAGGAGCCGGAGGCTGGTATTCCCCGACCGCCCGCGCATACGCCACCGCCGCCTCCACCGCCGTGCCGAAGGTGCCGAGGTCGACCTGCCTTCCGTCCACCCTGTGCTGCGCCTGGAAGCGCGAGCCACTTTTGAACACGCCCTTGTACCCGCTGGCGCTGATGCTGGAGAGGTGCAGCCGCAAGCCCTCCGCCTCCTCCGCCGCCTCCGCCGCCGCCTCCGCCTCCGCCTCCGCCTCCGCCTCCGCCGCCGCCGCCGCCTCCGCGTCCTCGCGGTGCCGCTTGGGCTGTGCGCCGGCGGGTGGCGGCTCGGCCCGCTCAGCCCGCGCCGCCGCCACCGCCGCTTGCGCCGGCGCCGGCGGATGCAAGCGCAAGCCCTCCGCCTCACCGGGCCCGTGCACCGGGACCACGGCGCCCACGAGCTCGGCCGCGCTTGCCGAATGGCTGCCGGCCGCGCCTGCGCGCCAGGTCAGACGTTAGCGGGCGACAGCTCATCTACAGGCGAGCAGGGCTGAAACACCTGCCGACGCGGCCGGGCCCAGCTTCTGCCGCTTGGCCCTGTGGCCGCTCGCCGGACCCTCCCGCAGATCGGACAGTTTCTGGTACACCGACTTGCGCGGGGGTCCCGGAACCTTGCCGGCGATCGCCGGCTCGATGTGCTCCCGCCAGAAGCGCCACCACTCGCCGCTCCACCGCTTCTCCGAGGGGAAGTCCGCCATGCACTCGTCTTTCCGCTTGCCGTCCTTGTCGGTCCGCAGGTAGGCGTCGGGCGCGGCCCAGCAGGCGCAGTACTCGGGGATGAGCGGTACATCGGGCTGCGCCGCGGCGAGCCACGCGTTGATGGCTTGGACCCTGGCGTGGAAGCCGCCCTTCGCCTTCTTCGCGTCCGACAGCGTGATGGGTCGCTCGACTTGACCGATCACTGCGCCGCTCTCGTCCTTCACATCTACGAGCACGGTCACCGGGCCCTTGAAGACCTCGCCTCTCTCGCAGCGGCGCGGGTTCGGCGCCCGCTCGAGCAGCGCGTCCACCGCGACGCCGACCGCCTGGTTGTAATCCGCGGCTGGCGGTGCTGCTGCTGCTGCTGCTGCGCTGCGCGCGGGGGGCTCTCTCTCGGCTCTCTCTCGGCTATCCCGGCTATCCTCCACCTCGCGCCTGGAGAGCGGCGACCTCGGCGGTGTAGTCGGGCCTATCGGACGGGCCATCGGACGGGCAGAGCAGCGCGTGGATCAGCGTCTTGACTCTCTCTGGGTCGGCGGGCGAGGGCATGTTCTTCTCGAGCCCGGCGAGCTTCATCTCCTTCTTCTCCTTTGGCGGCTTCTTGGCGACCAGCTCGGGGTGGAGGTTGACGAGGTGCTGCGACTGGAAGTTGTTGGCAGAGAAGCACTGCGCCGCGCGAGGCAGGGCCGCCCGGTCGGGCTGCGGGGGAGGGGCGCGGCGGGCGGGGAGTGGAGAGGTGGTGGCGGGGAGTGGAGAGGTGCTGCTGCCTTGTTGCAGAGGTGGCAGTAGCGCTTGCCGGGCTTGGAGCGGCCGCCCTCGCCGCCGGGCTTGGCGGCCGAGTGGTAGATGTCGCCCGTGGCGGGGCAGACGAACCAGACCACCTTGCGCGTGAGGTGCACCCGCAGGAAGAAGTCGCGGCCGAGCTCCTCCATCAGGAAGGGCTGCTCCTCGGTGTTTGGGCCGTCGCAGAGCATCTCGAGCTCGGCGGACTTTGGCAGCTCCTTGCCGCGGTCGAAGACCTTCCACGACCCGACCTCGACCGTCCCTGGGTGGAGCGCGGTCGAGGCCGCCTCGGCGATCACCTCACCCGACCCCGCCCCGCGCGTGACCCGCCAGGCGGCGCCGTCGGAGGTGAGGTGGAGCTTGGGGTCGTCGCTGTGCGCGAAGCGAGGGGACGACTTGACGTCGGAGTCCTGGCGCACCCACTCGCCATCGAGAAACGACAGCGGCGCGCCGCGACACAGCAGCCGGCCGTGCCTGCAGTTGGTCCAGCGAGAGCTCAGTGAGTCAGCAGGAGGCCTTATGTGGTGCGGGAGGAGGCCGTTGCTGGGCACGAGGGGCGAGGGGGCTCACCGATGCACCGACGAGCCTGCCATCCCGCGGCCAGGGGAAAGCTCTCTCAGCCCGGCACTGAGAGGAAGAATAAAAGACCCTCTGAGAAAAAGAAATCGCGCGAGGAATAAAAAAGAATATCAGAGGCCACTAGCATCCCCGCGATATAGAAAAAATCCAGTTTGATTTCTTTTTCGCGGCGCGATTTCTTTAATCGGGAGAAAAAGCGGATCCTCTTGGAGGCGTCCTCTTGTAGTAAATCTACAGATAGACACACACACACACACACACACACACACACACACACACACACACACACACACACACACACACACACACACACACACACACACACCACACACACACACACACACACACACACACACACACACACACACACACACACACACACACACACACACCGCTCACCCACGCGCACCGGGCCTTGCACTTTAAATGCCGTGGGGCTCCTGTCGTTAGACGTGGAGACGCGAGGGTTGCCCCCCCTTGCCCCACCACCTCGTGTGTGTGGAGAAGTTTACCTTACCGCTTCCTAGCGAAGTCAAGCACGGTCGAGTTCAGGTAGTACTTCCATCCGGGAGGGGGTGGGGAAGCTAAGTGCTGCATGTTTTGCCTCATCCCATAGCGGCGCCGGAACGGCGCCGGAACTTCCGGTAAATAGGGGCTTCCACGCGGTGCAGCCTTTTGCCGCGTGGGCAGCCGCTTCACCTCTCCGTCGATGGCCTCCCACCGCATCGGCGCCCGCGTCGCGGGCCTCTCGCCAGCGCAGGAGCTGTGCGCCATCATCGAGGCGCAGGCGGGCGCGAGCGACGCCGCGCTGCGCGTGGCGGAGGAGCACGCCGCACGGCTCGTGGAGCAGCCCGAGTGGGTGCTCTCCGAGGTCCTCCTCTCGCCGGACCTCGCCCCGCACATAATCGCCCAGCTGCCGACCACGGCGCACGCCGTCAAGGGACGTGCCGCGCGTGGCGCCGCGGCTGGAAGGAGACGCTGAAGAAGCGCGAGAGGCCGCGCCTGCTCGTGATCGGTGGCGAACACAACGATGGCGATTTCCTCAGCTCGCTGGAGCGGTACGACCCTTCAACAAACGAGTGGGAGGAGGAGGCTGTGGCGCCGATGCCTTCGGCACGCACGTATGTCTGCAGGCACGGCGGTGCTTGATGGCAAGCTCTACGCGGCGGGCGGCGAGATTGAGGCTGACGGCGCACCTTCCAACCTGGTGGAGCGGTACGACCTGGCTACGAACGCGTGGGAGGCGGTGGCGCCGATGGCAGAGGCGCGGCTATCTGCCGCCGCCGCAGTGCTCGAAGGGAAGCTGTACGCTGTGGGCGGAGCCGACCACGTCCTCAGCGTCGAGCGGTACGATCCGGCGCTGGATGCGTGGGAGGCGGTGGCGCCGATGGCACCGGCGCGGATTAATCACGCCATGGCGGTGCTGGACGGCAAGCTGTATGCTGTGGGAGGCCACGACAACGACGACGGCTACCTCAGCTCGGTCGAGCGGTACGACCCGGCCTTGGACGCGTGGGAGTCGGTGGCGTCGATGTCGACAGCGCGGGACTTTCACGGTGTAGCGGTGCTTGACAGCAAGCTGTACGCTGTGGGCGGCTACAAGACATACGCTGTGACGGGAGGCGACAACAACGTCAGCCACCTCAGCTCGGTGGAGCGGTACGACCCGGGGACGGATGCGTGGGAGGCGGTGGCGCCGCTGACGCTGGCTCGCTTCGGGGCCGGGGTGGCGGCGTCGAAAGGCAAGTTGTACGCTGTGGGCGGCAGCATCGAGGAGGACGACGAGGCTGAGGCTCAAAGGCCGGCTCACTCGGTCGAGCGGTACGACCCGGCCTCGAACGCCTGGGAGGAGGTGGCGCCGATGGCGACGGCGCGGGCCTTTCCTTTCGCGCTCCTGATGTAGGGGGCATAGGTGAGCTGTGAGCTGTGAGGGGCCGCTTTTATGGACCCGGACGGACGGGACGGACGAGGGCGAGACCAGACGGAGCTAAGTGCCTCGCCGTCGTCCTCGCAGGAGTCGCTTAGGCGGCTCCCGTGGTGTACCTGTGTTAGTGCCAGTGCGCGCCGGTCCCAGAGGGGCATTCGAAAATTATCCCCTTGGTGGCGCTGCGTGTATTTTATTCGCCCGTCTCGAAAAAGAGAAAAATCCGCAAAGCGGCCCATACACTGCCGTGGCGCCTCTGTGTCGAAGGCGCGCTGGCCCGCTCCGGTCGCGATGACTACACGGTGCCTACTGCTCGTGGCCCTCTCGGCGCTCGCCTCCGCGGACGAGGAAAAGCCTTATGAGGTACCGACTTCAATCGACGGTGCCTTCTTCTTCGAGCCCTTCATCAACACAGAGCGCTGGGTGCGTGTGTGCTTCCGTCACGGCCTGCAGCCTCGGCTGCTCTCCCAGCCAGCTCCTTCCCTGCACAGGTCCGCACGGAGGACGAAAACTACCAGGGCGAGCTGCAGCTCCAGAGCTACGGCGTCTTCCGCGGGAAAGCCGAGTTGCCGGACGCACTGCCGGCCGACCAGGGCCTCGAGCTCTCCTCGGCGGCGCGCAAGCACGGCATCAGCACGGTCTTTGCGGAGCCGCTCCGCACCAAGGGCGTGGGGCTGGTCGTCCAGTTCGAGCTCCTCCTCAAGCAGCCTCTCCAGTGCGGAGGTGCGGCTCTGCTCGCCTAGCGCCACCTCCCGGCTCACTGCCCGCCTAGCGCCGCTCACTCCGCCTAGCGCCACTCACTGCCTGCACACCGCACTCCCTTCCAAGAGGCAGTGCCCTCCCACCCGCAGGTTCTCACGCACGCACGCACGCACGCACGCACGCACAACACTCACAACACATACAGCACTCAATGCACGCACGACACTCACACTACATACAGCACTTAATGCACGTACGCACGCACACTGACACCTTCCCCGTGCGCCGGGCCCAAGGCGCCTACCTCAAGCTCCTCTCGGCCGACGAGGCGGTGCCGCCCGCGGCCCTCAACGGAGACACCGCGTACACGCTCATGTTTGGGCCGGACAAGTGCGGCGCCGTGCACAAGACGCACTTCATCCTGCGGCACAAGAGCCCCGTGGACGGTGCGATCAAGGAGTGCCACCTCGTCGGCGAGACGGCGGCGCCGCCTCTCTCCGACAAGAAGCCGCACCTGTACACGGCGGTCATCACGCCCGAGAGCGAGGTCAAGATCCTCGTCGACGGCAAGGAGGTGTGGCCTCGAGTTCCCTACCCCCAGAGTACCGAACCCAGTGTGGGTTCAGTTGGGTGGGTGGTGCGGTAGGTCCGGTCGGCCTCGCTGCTCGACGAGACGGCGTTCTCCGCCCCAATCAACCCGCCGAAGAAGGTCGACGACCCCGACGACTCCAAGCCCGCCGACTGGGTCGACGAGGGAGGTGCAGAGTACCATACCTCCAGAGTACCGAACCCAGTGTGGCTGTACTCTCTCAGGTCGACGAGCCCCAGATGCCCGACCCCGCCTCGGTCAAGCCGGACGACTGGGACGAGGAGGCGCCGCGCCTGATCGAGGACCCGGCGGCGGAGAGGTGGCCGCCACAAACTTGCCTCCGCCACACCCCCGCTCGCCACACCCCCGCTCGCCCCACCCCCGCTCGCCCCACCCCCTCTCCGCATGGCTACTTGAACCTCGGTGGGCACCGCCAAGACGCCCTCCCGCGGACTCCGCTGCCGCGCGACGCCGTCGCCTGCGCAGCGCTCGCCCTCCCGCGGCGCGCCTGCAGGCCGGACACGTGGGAGCCCAACGAGCCGCTTCAGATCCCAGACCCGACGGCGGAGGCGCCCGCCGACTGGGACGCCGACGAGGACGGGGAGTGGGAGGCGCCGCTGGTGCCCAACCCGAAGTGCAAGCCGTCGGGCTGCGGCGAGTGGAAGCGGCCGCAGGTCGCAAACCCGGCGTACAAGGGCAAGTGGGTGCAGGCCAAGATCGACAACCCCGCCTACGTCGGCAAGTGGGCGCCGCGCCAGATTGACAACCCCGCCTATTACTACGACGCGGCGCCACACGACGTCATGCCGATCGGCGGCGTGGGGATCGAGCTGTGGACGATGCAGGTCAGGGCCCGAAGAGACCTCGGCCGGAGCCCGCTCGGAGCCCTCTCGGAGCCCTCTCGGAGCCCTCTCGGAACCTTGTCGGAGCCCTCTCGGAACCTTCTCAGAGCCCTCTCGGAACCTTCTCAGAGCCCTCTCGGAACCTTCTCGGAGCCCTCTCGGAGCCCTCCCGCAGGACGGGATCCTCTTCGACAACATCCTGGTCGCCACTGATCCGAGGGTGGCCGAGGAGGCGGCGGAGCGAACCTTCTCCGCGCGGAAGGCGGCCGCCCGCCCCCGTGCGCCAGACTCCCCCGCACTTCCTCGCACGCCGTGGGGGGCTCCTGTCTTGGAGTGTGGAGATGCGAGGGACCCCGCGCCCTCGCCCCACACTAGCGTGTGGGGAGGGTCGCCCCACTGACTAGCGACGTGACACCACTAGCGTCGAGAGGGTCGCCCCACTGACTAGCGACGTGACACCACTAGCGTCGAGAGGGTCGCCCCACTGACTAGCGACGTGACACCACTAGCGTCGAGAAGGTCGCCCCACTGACTAGCGACGTGACACCACTAGCGTCGAGAAGGTCACCGCACTGACTAGCGACGTGACACCACTAGCGTCGAGAAGGTCACCCCACTGACTAGCGACGTGACACCACTAGCGTCGAGAAGGTCACCGCACCCGACGCGTGGCTAAGGCGGCCGCTGCTCGGCTCGAGCGCGGCGATGGGTGGCTGGGCGCCGCGTCCTTCTACCTCAGCCTCGCGGCCGAGTACGCGCGCGAGAACGCGCTGCCCGTCGGGGTGGCGGTGTGCGCCGTGCTGGCGAGCATCGTCCTGCTCTGCTGCTGCCGTGCGCCGGCGCGCGCAGCCGAGGCGGGTGGCGGCGGTGTGGAGGGCGAGGAAGAGGAGGGCGAGGGCGAGGAGGAGGACGGCGAGGAGGACGGCGAGGAGGCGGGCGAGGGCGACGAAGCGGCGGAAGAGGCGG